GAAAGGTTAAAAGTGGAGACGTTTGATTCAACTTTACTTAGATTTGATTCCATATGGCTATGTTTCTCTCCACAGAACGGTTTACTCCATATTTCGAGCGTTGCAAAAAGCGCGAACACTTAGCTCTGGCGATGATCCCCAGAGACCTTCGTAAAAAAACGAACTCATAAATCGAACCCCGAATTTCAGAGCACGGGGCAAACGGCTTGACCTCATCGCCGAGGAGAGAGTGTGAATTACACTGCATCCGTTGTGTGGTGCCCCAATATAACTGTCTTATATGGCTATAGTCGGCTCTGTGGCTAAGTCGATGCGAACGCTTCGTAATGCCGGGGTGCCAGGTTCGATCACAGCTGCGGGTCATGTGCCTTGCGTTGGTTTCGACAGTGGTATCAGGGGGCCGACCGTCCAGGAAGCAATGGCAAACTACTGGACGTAAATTGACTAGAAAAACCACACAACAGCCAGGAACTGTTGAGGTTGGTTCTGCAACGTCCTGTAAAGGATACGCAACCAACCTTTTGTATATGGCTATAATTAATTAAGAAGGGTGGAGGCAGCTGAGATGTGGTTCTTGAGAAGAATATTGCGAATACCTTGGACTGCCAGAATAACTATCAGTGATTGCTGGGAAATTGCTAATGAAAAAAGAACGTTGTATACAACCATGAAAAGGAGACAAACACAGTTTTTTGGTCATGTGATGAGAAAAGGAGCACTAGAAAATATCGTAATGACTGTGACGAGCAAAAGCTTGGCGTACAGTGTGATGTGCTGTAAAGGCTGCGTGGTGATATGCGGCGTACCAAAGGTGAATAAGGGCGTCGCAATGTAACAAATGGCATCAACAACTTAATATGCCACTGGCCAAGTGTAACACAACATAACTTCCCCCGAAGTCGGAGTACATCTACCGGAGAGGCGGGGAACGAGAACTGCGAACAAATAAGCCAGTAAAACAGATGTACACGCAAAACTCAGGTCAAGGTGAAAGCCAAAAGTCCATTTTGGACGAACAACAGCGACTTACCGCCGGAATTCATAGCCGGTGAACAAGAAGAAGAAGAAGAAGACAACATGATGAATGTTGAAGCTTCCAAACGTAGCGGAACGAGAACTCTCTTTGAAGGTTCCATTTGTGTATTGACAATAGCAATGATCAACGCAAGGAAAAATATGCAATTAATAATCCAGACTTATTCAAACACATCAACAAAAGCCCGCTCGTACATACATGGACTGATATGTTCTCACGACGGGTCGCAGTCCGACCTTGAGATCCAGACAGTCATCTCTGTCTTCTGTTCCGCAGTCTGAATACGGTAATGTAAGTATGCCGGCTTACTGCCGAACTGTGACAATATACCAGCTTTCTGCTGAGGTTTATATTGGAGTCCCGGGGTAAAACGTCCTCAAGGATCCAACTTTATACGTCTGCTTCCGTGGAATCCCGGGGTAAAGCGTCCTTAGGGATCCACACGTCCGTCTCCTTCGGACTGTAAACATCAACTGCCTTTGACAACACTACCTTCACGACGTTACGTATTGTTTTGACGTCTTATTTGCTCACTCAGTACCGGTGCGTTCTAGTGCACATCCGCACGCGACAATGACCTAAAAGATCACTGGTGGAAGATACAGAGGCAGACCAAGAGAAAAGTTGATGGATGGCTTAAGACATTGGCATAAAGAAATATCATCAGTGGAATCGGTCCAAAACACCAAAGACCGATATCTGTGGAGATGCAAGAACGTCTACGCCAGCTGGCAAGGCACTTGATGATAATGATTATATGGCTATACGATTGAACGGGTTTTCCCTGATTTGTTCCAGTAATGGAGCAATGATGAGCAGTACAAGACTCTTAATGTCCATTAGCCTATCTTGCTCAATCTCACATTCGCATAGTGGACTCTGTTCTTCCCAGCAATCAAGTGGAAGGCTGGGGTCTCAACCCCCTGCGGGAAACTGGATGGAACAACAATCAAGGTAAAGGCGAAGGGGTGAGCACAATCTTTATCTCAAGAGATCCTGATGTCGGAAATAATGTGTCTGAAGGCAGATACAAAACCCACAGTACTACCCAAGAACTTCCCTACGAGAATGCTGCAACCTATGTCAAAGGCATTCTGTTTCTCGGAATGAAAACGTAAATGGAAGACAACGCAGAAACCAGAGAGCGGGACACACCCGTAACCTTCAGCAAAGTTGACGAGCCGAACAAAGTTTGAATGAAAAGTGACCTGGTGCATAAATAGGCGGAGCTAACTCTGTTTTTTTTTTTTTGGGGGGGGGGGGGGAGTTGCAAAATTCACCGAATAATTGTTTGGGAGTCGCCACAACATGAGGGAACTGTATTAAAAGGGTCGCGACATTAGGAAGGTTTAGAGCCAATGCAGTAGAACAGCTTGACAAAAACACACACACAATAATGTGCGAAGGCTCAACATTCCTGCGGCACTATCTTTCTGAGGACTGAACGCCTTTACTTTCGTGTGTATGTGTAATTGTGTATTTACCTGAGATCACACATACGCGCGCACGTGTGTCCTCCCATTGCCACAATGTTTTATTGTGAATATTAAAACCCGCATCATTCCACGCTTTATTGCTGCTTCTCACACAGGTAACCACGAACTTTAACCCGGATGTCTCATAAACTAGTCCACGGTATTAATTAGGTCAGTGGTTTTGAAACTGTAGCCAGAGATTTTAGGCCACAACCACCGACGCAACACATTCTAGCCGCACACAAAACTAGACCATAAGTGTAACCAAAGATATCTTCAGTAACGTTGAAGGTGATCGTAATTTTTTTTTTCAATTTTTTTTTTTCTCTTTTTCCAGAACTAGCCAACTAATCAGAAAAAATACGCTTTTTATACCAACTTCATGCTATCAATGCCAAACACGGACAGTCATATAAACATATAAACACAACATTACGTGTGAGATCTTCTTCTTCTTTGCGTTCAGCTGCTGTAAACTCCGGCGGAAATTTATGGCTGCTCATCCACTTCTTGACACTAGACATGTTCCAGAACCCGACTCTTGTGTGCACATCCGTTTTACCGATCTCGCTTACTTTTATGCAGATTGTTGGTTCCTCGCCTCTCAAGCTGATGCACTCCAACTCCCCCCCCCCCTCAAAAAAAAAAAAAACAACCATCCCTAATTAGTAGACTCGGAGTCGCCGTGGCGGATCGGCTAGACACTCGCCGCTGATCGGAAGGTCGTGGATTCGCTTCCTGGAGGAGCAGGACTTTTTTTTTTTTTAAATGACCTTGGTTCCCAGGTCGATCCAGCCTTGAGTGGGTACCGGGTGCAGTCCCGGGAAGTAGAGGCGGCCGGCGTGATGCTGACCCCAACACCCATCTTGTGCTGATTGGTCTATAAAATACAGGTCTAGCCCTATATGCCCTATATGCATAAAGGCATGGGAAAAGGCCCTTTACTTACTTACATGAGATATCTTTTTTCTTCTTTGCGTTCACCAGCTGTAAACTCCGGTGGAAATGTCTGGTTGCTCATCCACTTCTTGACACTATATTTGTTCCAGAACTCGACTCTTGTGTGCACATCTGTTTTACCCATCTGGCTTATTTGTAAGCAGACTGTTGGTTCCTCTCCTCTCAGGCTGATGCACTCGAGCTTTGAAAAAAAAAATCACTAATTAGTAGACTCCTGCTACATGCTTGTAAGAGGGCAGCGGGTCTATTCTTCTTCTTTTTTCACCCTATCCCAATGGTGCCTCGGAACCCACACGGGGAACATGCGGGATGAGTTTATAAGCAAGGCGGCGGGAAAAACAAGAAGAAATAAGAGTTACTAACGAAGAATTAAGAACAATAGCAAGCACAATGACGATAAATGATTTCATGTAACATCAAAAAATCAAATGGTTTGGTCATCTGGTCAGATGGAACACAATCAGTAACCCCTTGACTCATTGGTCTATAAAATATGAATCTAGCCTCACAGTGCGCCAATGTACACCAGTAAATACGCATGTCGAGATTATGGCACTGTCTGATCAGCATTCACGCCCAGAAGACATCGACATTGACACAGATGGGTCCCGGGAAGCGCGGATCAAGATCAGCATGCGAATACATAGCACAAAAGATGGAGAAGACAAGAAAAGGGGATAGTGAAATCCCACCAGGCAACTACGTCAAGCATGACCATGGCGATAACTGCTGCTTCCAGAGCACTCGCATAGGTAACAGAACATACGCAGTGTCAGACTCTATGAGCATGCTTTAGAAAATCGTATCAGGTAGTCATACGCCCCAAATGGATAGAAAGCATTGGAAAGTCGCAGTTAACCTCCACCACCTGGATCTACACACCTGGGCCACCAGAAGTAAATGGTAACGAAAGAGCTGACCAGCTGGCAAATAATGTACCACTGCAAACGGGAAGAAGCGCGGACTGAGCTGATATTATCATCAACGCTGTACGGACCAGGTTGGGGGAGGGGGGGGATAATGGCCTATCTCTGATGTTAACAAGATTGCATGACTTAGGATTAAGCACGTCTATACCGTCTTCGAGGTTGAGATAAGTGTACACAGTAAGGTAAAGGACCCTTTTTGGCGCCTTTAAGCCTACTGGGCATATAGGGTTAGACATATCTTTTATAAAGAGTCGGCACTCTATGGGTAATGTGGTCAGCATCACCTCGGAGGTATCAAGAAAAGATAAAAAGCCGAACGAAAAGTATATTAGCTTTTCGGAGGTAAAGATCCGAGAAACTAAAACCAACTCTTCATGAGAACAACCATAGTATATACCTTGGAGTGACTGATCAGAAGACTGAGCACATATGGGAATGTCCAAAGACGTCAATTATGATAACATAAACACTCCTTGGTAGCAACCAACTCACAAATTTTAAAACCACTGCCCCAGTTCGGCCAGATCCCTAATCCGTCTTTAGTACTTTAGTGTAAAGTCCGGGCTGACCTGAGCCGACCCCCCCCAAGCCAGTAACAACATGGAAGGCAACGTGAGATACTCCCCTCAAGTTTCCAGTTGTTCTATCAAAGTCAGGCTTGTTCTGAGCTCCATCGGAGTCGCTGTCGGCCTCATTGTCTTCTTCTTCTTCTCCTTCCATTATAGGAATTACAATGCTGGCTTGTGGGGTCTTGTATCAGGTAAGTCTATAAGTTTTAACTTGTAATCGACCGTCATGTTTCTAGTCTACACTTGTTTACAAAATAGACAAGATTCATGAAGCCAAGCCAGTAGACCACTGTACTAAATTAATTATTAAACTTTATAGTAATCGTTTGAAAACATCAGAATCCTGTTCAACGCATCCTGGTTATAATTGAAGAATGTGTGCAGTTTTTTGCTCGTCCTCAACAAGAATTGTATGCATGTTAATTAATAAATCAATACTTTAAATCTGCCGGCGTGACGCTGACCACATCACCCATCTTGTGCCATTGGTTTATAACCTATAGGTCTAGCCCTATATACCCAATACGCCTGAAATGCGTGGAAAAGGGTCGTTTACTTTTACTTTACTATATTTAAAATCGCCTAGATTGTGCATTGTTGTTACTTGAAAGTAATAATTTAAAATCCTGGTTATAATTGAAATTATATGCTATATACAGGCTTTTTCTCTCTGTTTTAACAAGGATATTTATTAGATTTAAACTAAATTAGGGGTTATTTCCAAAGCTATCATCATCAGGTGCCAGCTGGTGGTTGCCATGCCTCTTTGCATTGATCATTTCTCTGTCATAAAAGGATATTTGTTTGTCATGATAGGTTGATTTCAGGTTTTTTTTTACTGCTAATTTGCTTACAAAGATAATGGATTATCCTCTCTCGTTTTGGGTTATTTTTTCACAACTATTATCATCAGATGTCTGGTGTAGTTATCATATACATCTACATAAATCACAGATGCAGTTTTCTTTAAATGTATGCTGAATGCACACTGTTTATAACACTGTGCTTGCCATTGTCTCAATTCTTCGTTGGTGACTCTGTTTCTTCTTGTTTTTCCCCGCTGCCTTTCTTATACACCTCATCCTGCATGTTTCCTGTGTGGGTTCCGGGACACCATTGGGACAGGGGAAAAAAAAGGATAGACCCACTGCTCCTTCACAAGCATGAAGCAGGAGTCTACTAATTAAGTCAAGTTAAGGACCCTTTCCCACGCCTTTAGAGAAAACGCTGCCCTTCCCCCCCCCCCCTCCCCCTTTTTGTTTTCAGAAATGTTATAATTTTATTAATATTATGTTGTCTATATTATCTCATAAAAATCTTGAGATCATGCATATGTATATATATACGTATGTATGTACCCAAGCATGTTGTAGGTGACAAATTAGGGGTGTGTTTTTCAGAGTAGATATGCATCTGCCTATAAAGCAAGAAACTGACAGTCTGCATACACAGATCTGCATGCAAAATTCAAGTTTTGTATCAAGACCAAGGGCCAGAAGTGATAATCTTTACATGAAAGTTTACATCCAGTGAAGAAGGAAAGCTGTTGCTGCAGTGTGATCATGGTTGCAGATTCACACTTATCTCTTGGTCCTTGCACACATCTTTCTTACTGTTGTGATTGTTGGTAATGTGCATCCTATAACAACTATTTTTCGGATTCCTTCTTCTTCATGTTTACAACCTGTAGACTGTGGGGGAAAGGTCCTAGTTGATCCTAGCTCCTGTAGTCAATGCTGAGCCTGAGTTTTGCATGTACATCTGTTTAACTGGCTTGTTTATGTGCAAATGGTTCTATCTTGCCACTCGGGCAGATGCACCCCGACTTAGCAGAAAGCACCCCCATTGAGTCAACTCCTATGACACGTTTGTTGGGGAGGCAGTGAGTCTGTTTTGTTTTTCCCACAATGTGGCCTTGGAACCCACACAGGGAAGTTATTCATCTACTTCTGTGCTTTGAACTTGTTCCATGACTGTATTTTTGTATGCACATCTGTTTTACAGATGTGGCTTATTTGTGTGCAGACTGTTGGTTTCTTGCCTCTCAGGCTGATGCACTCCGATTTCAAAAGAAAACATAAATCTATGTTGGCCATGCTCCCAGTGGGTAACCTGTTTCTAGGATAAGGAGGAAATGTGTCGATGGGTCACTGCCAGTTTGGACTGTAGTCTTGCTGAGTTAGTTAGTCGTTATGGTTCCGGCATCACAGCAAATGAGCTTGGCCAATAATTGCTCAATCGTCTATGCCAGTGATTCGTGTCACAAACTGGTCAGATACGCTGTATCCTTCAAGTGAATGCCCTAGCCATACAAAGTGTCCTCAGTCAGCAAAACGGACACGATTTGATCTGGCAAACCTGCTCAACTGCCATGTATGATTCAGCACTTCGACATCCCATCACAGCTGTTGAAATCTATTATCATCTTCAGTCAACAGGTCCTTTACAGAGCATGCTGTCCTCACAGCACAATTGAAAGTCTTTTTTTCTCTAGCCTTATCTGTTTTCATAGTCCATGCATCTTAAATGTCTTGTATTCACCTTCGCTGAGGTTGGCCTATACCTATTTTTTTCCCAGACACAGCACCCTCCATCACCGCTCTCTCCAGGCTACCATGAGGTTTAACATGGTCAGAATACCTCAGTTTTCAGAACAAAATGCTGTTTATGAACCAGTTCTGCTTGATGTTCAGATTATGTAGGATGCAGGGTGTTTTTCTTCTTCTTGGTACTTGGTATTCTAAGCATTTTTCAGTAATTGACAACTATGTCACAGACTGAGTCGTGGACCATCTCCCAGAAGAAAATGGGGGCTTTTGGAACTGAAATGCTATAGAAAGAATCTCAGAATACTATGGACAAACAAAAAAAGAAATACAGTACTGACATTCAAAAAGATCTGAATGTCAAGGAAGATGTGCTAATAAACAGAATCGTGTCTCAGATACTGAAATGTTTTGGCCATATCAAGTACCACAGCAAAATGGAAAACATAAAAGCAGAAATCAGATTAGCATGAAGGAAGGGCAAAAGCAGAGCAACACAAAGGTGGGCACAGTATATAACTGACTGTTTATGTGTGAAAATACATGAGGTGGGAGAGCTGGCAAATTTCTTTCAGGCAGACTGTGATGAGAGCGAAGATCCTGCTGTATGATAATGATATCCCAACAGCTGACAGTTTTGCACCTTTAAAATGTGCATCTTTAAAGTAAAACTAGCAAATTCAGTAGATTATTTTGTTGTTTGATACCAGGTTTGGCTGCAGGTCTAGCACTTGGGGTGACAATAGCTTACAGTAAACATGTCTGGGATGGCAACCCACGGCAGTTAAAGAATTTCATGTTGACGGGATGTTTCATACAGTTAGCGGGGATATGTGGCTTTGTGGCCTATCTTGTACTGGCCATATCCAAAAATCAAGGTTTGTATGGGTTTTTTTAAAAAGAAAATACTTACATTATTATCCTCTTTCATCCATTTTCTGCTTTGTATGGCAGGTTAACAGATGATCTGTTTCCGAGCTAGGGCACACTCAGTTGTCAGGTATGCTGTGGAGTCTCACTGACACCTTCAATCCATCTTCTTCTTGGTTGTCTCCTATCTCTTGATGTTTATACTTTCATATTGTACACTATCATTGCTGGCATCATTGAATTCATTCTTGTAAACTAACCAAAACATTTTAGTCTTTGTTTTTCAAAGAATTAAATTATATGTGTTGTACCAATAGATCTTGTAATTTCTTTGTTTTTCTACATCATCTTCATCAAATGCCTCAAAGGTGGTCAGTTTCTCTAAATCTTCCATTTCCAGCATCATGAATCAGTTTATGTACTAACACCTTTTTAATGCCATGACTAATTCCTAAGTTAAACGTAGAATAGCTCGGGCAAAGGCCTGAAAATTAAGAAAATTCTATGCAATCTTTCTTTGTCAGTTGTGAAAATAAAGAAATCTCAAGAGGTAAATGTATTATGGCTGTACCGAATATTCGCTTCGGGGCCGAATAGTGGACCTGTTGACTATTCGGTATTTGGCCGAATAGTTGCGGTCGGGCCGAATACGAATAGTAGTTACCTTACATCCTCTTCTGCATACACGGCCCCAATATTGACAACATGGAACGATTGATTTTGTTGAAAACTAATGCAGTTTTCATGCATTAACTAAGCTGTCAGTGACAATTTCCAAGTTTATTTACTTGTTATAATACTTAGGATTCTTTCATTCCTAGTTATTAGTTACCACAGACTGACTGAAGGATGCAAAACATAACAAATTGTTTAATGTTTATTATTCTGTACGAATACTAACTAGACATGGAAAGAATCTAAACTCCGGCCACATCCAAGTCGATAATATGAAAATCAAATGAACGGAAACATATAAGTACTTGGGTGAAAACTTCAACTGCTCCAACATGCTGGGAGAAGAAATACAATCTAGAATACAATCTAGAAATAAAGTATAATATGCCCTTCAACATCTGCCAAAGTCAAAAACGTTCATGAGACCAGTCGTTTTATATGGCTTTGAAACTTGAAGCAGAAATAAAAGAGATGACTCATTATTACAGGTTTTTGAAAAGAGAGTCTTACGACAAATCTTTGGACCCATCAAAGATGCTAACAGCGGGGAATGGAGAGTCAGAAGCAACAACGTAACACATAATCTGTTTAAATCACCATTGATCACTGGCATCATGAGAGCTAACTGACTAAAATGGCTGGGGCATATTGAAAGAATGTCAGATAACAGAGAAGTAAAAACTGTATACACCTGAGAGAAGAATGGGCATAGACCACGAGGCAGACAAAAAAGAAGTTCGAGAGATAATGTCCAGCCAGACCTGCAAACAACTAGTGTCACAAATTGTGAAGAGAAGGCCAGCCAGAGAGATGAATGGAGACGAGTGATATCTGCAGCAGTAAACCTCAAGGGCTCAGATTGCTAAAGAAGAAGATGACTATTCTGTGCTACTTTATGTGAAGTAAAAGTTCAGCGTACATTTGACATTATGAATTTTTTTAAATATATATATTTTATACACTATTCGTATTCGGCCGAATCCCGTTAAATGTATTCGGCCGAATAGTAAAAATCACTTTTCAGTACAGCCCCAATATGAATCCTATTCTAATATGTGGTAGTGAATCTGGGACAATGCCCGGGTTGCTAGCTCAGTTGGTTAAACCTGACTGTGAGGTGACCGGGTGACAAACTCCTTGTGGTGCGGGCAGAAAAGCCACATTTCTCCCAGGTTTGCGATATCCATACTCATGGTTTTTGGATATTTTAATAATTTTTTTTAAAAATGGGGAAAATAGGACGATTAGTGAAAAATTATTTTGAACGACGATGTGGTTTTATAGACAAATGATGAGAATTCCTGGACAGATAAAAATAGTCGTGAAAATGCTGGAAAGAAATTGTCTCACAGAGAACTGATTGCCCACATTAGAGGGAAACAATCTACATTCTTTGGTGATGTCATGAGAAGGAGAAAACTGGCGTACATCGCAACAGTGGGAAAGTTAGAGTCTGAAAATTTTTGTCTGGGTGTTTAATTGCAGCAAGTTTTTGATTGTTACAGTAGTTAACTGTTGTATTTCCCTCCATATATAAACTGAAAGGATGTAGTTCTGTCACGCAGCTACCGAGTAGGCTGAATGGTATGACACTGTGAGCTGTGGATTTCATTTTGAATGCTTTCTTGACCATGCCTTATCTGGTCTGTGTTGTGAACTGCAGATTCAGAAAATAGCGAGAGATAACTAGTAGTCCACTTAAGTCGAACTCGGATAAGTCGAGTTTCCGAATGACCAGCTTAGTCCCGGCAATTTTCTCTATTGTCTGTGCTGTCTGGATAAGTAGAAATCCTGATAAGTGAAAGCATTTTCTAAGATCCGTGCGACTTCTACTTTTCCAGACTCGACAGTAGTGCCTTATGATTTAATTACATGTGTATGGTGAGGGACGAGCCACAGTACAGCACTGCACAGAGTGATAGTTACGTTGAATCGAGGTTGCCAGGAATGGATAGCCGAAGAAACAGAGATGGTGATGCAACAGCTGATCATTGAAGACTCACACCTAGGTGGTGATAATATATACAGCCATGAGGGGTATAACCAGGTGAATGGAGACTGGAACCCATATGAGAATATCAAGTTGAGAATGGAGGTGGAGGCAGTAACGGTAGCTTTCCGATGGCTTGAGGGCAGCAAAGCCCAAACTGTATTGTAACAGACTCACAGAACATACTTTTGTCAAAACTGGCATCTACTCATTGAGTAGCTTGCATCAGTTGATAGATCAGGAGCATATCGTGAATTTGTTTGGCTTGCATCCGTTGATAGATCAGGAGCATATCGTGAATTTGTTTCGCTTGCATCCGTTGATAGATCAGGAGCATATCGTGAATTTGTTTGGCTTGCATCCGTTGATAGATCAGGAGCATATCGTGAATTTGTTTGGCTTGCATCCGTTGATAGATCAGGAGCATATTGAGAATTTGTTTGGCTTGCATCCGTTGATAGATCAGGAGCATATCGTGAATTTGTTTGGCTTGCATCCGTTGATAGATCAAGAGCATATCGTGAATTTGTTTGGCTTGCATCCGTTGATAGATCAGGAGCATATCGTGAATTTGTTTGGCTTGCATCCGTTGATAGATCAGGAGCATATCGTGAATTTGTTTGGCTTGCATCCGTTGATAGATCAGGAGCATATCGTGAATTTGTTTGGCTTGCGTCAGTTGATAGATCAGGAGCATATTGTGAATTTGTTTGGCTTGCATCAGTTCATAGATCAAGAGCATATTGTGAATTTGTTTGGCTTGCATCAGTTGATAGATCAGGAGCATATTGTGAATTTGTTTGGCTTGCGTCAGTTGATAGATCAGGAGCATATTGTGAATTTGTTTGGCTTGCGTCAGTTGATAGATCAGGAGCATATTGTGAATTTGTTTGGCTTGCATCAGTTCATAGATCAGGAGCATATTGTGAATTTGTTTGGCTTGCATCAGTTGATAGATCAGGAGCATATCGTGAATTTGTTTGGCTTGCATCAGTTGATAGATCAGGAGCATATTGAGAATTTGTTTGGCTTGCGTCAGTTGATAGATCAGGAGCATATTGTGAATTTGTTTGGCTTGCATCAGTTGATAGATCAGGAGCATATTGTGAATTTGTTTGGCTTGCATCAGTTGATAGATCAGGAGCATATTGTGAATTTGTTTGGCTTGCATCAGTTGATAGATCAGGAGCATATTGTGAATTTGTTTGGCTTGCATCAGTTGATAGATCAGGAGCACATTGTGAATTTGTTTGGCTTGCATCAGTTGATAGATCAGGAGCATATTGTGAATTTGTTTGGCTTGCATCAGTTGATAGATCAGGAGCACATTGTGAATTTGTTTGGCTTGCATCAGTTGATAGATCAGGAGCATATTGTGAATTTGTTTGGCTTGCATCAGTTGATAGATCAAGAGCATATTGTGAATTTGTTTGGCTTGCATCAGTTGATAGATCAAGAGCATATTGTGAATTTGTTTGGCTTGCATCAGTTGATAGATCAGGAGCATATTGTGAATTTGTTTGGCTTGCATCAGTTGATAGATCAGGAGCATATTGTGAATTTGTTTGGCTTGCATCAGTTGATAGATCAGGAGCATATTGTGAATTTGTTTGGCTTGCATCAGTTGATAGATCAGGAGCATATTGTGAATTTGTTTGGCTTGCATCAGTTGATAGATCAGGAGCATATTGTGAATTTGTTTATCTTGCATCCGTTGATAGATCAGGAGCATATTGTGAATTTGTTTATCTTGCATCCGTTGATAGATCAGGAGCATATTGTGAATTTGTTTGGCTTGCATCAGTTGATAGATCAGGAGCAAATTGTGGATTTTTTTTTTCTCTTGCATCATTTGATAAACTTAGATTAGGAACATATAGTGAATTTTTAAAATAACGATGTGCTGGTAATGAGCAGGTTGAAAGATTAGCTGCTGTCGCTCATCTTTTTGATAAGCTATTTTATGATAAAGTCAGCGTAAAGGTGTCGGCTCTGTGGCTAAGTTGATGCAAATGCTTCATAATGCCGGGTTCGATCCCAGCTGCGGGCCATGCGCCTTGCGTTAATTTCGACAGTGGTATGCAGAAAGCCAACCATCCAGATAGCAGTGGCAAACTATTGGACGTAAATTTGCCTAGAAAAACCACACAACAGCCAGGGGCTGTTGGGGTTGGTTCTGCAATGCCCTGTAAAGGATACACAACTAACCAATGTAAAAGCCCTCTGAGAGAAAGCGGACAGTGCAACAAAACAGATCTTAAAAGAATTAATGAGTGGGGGCTTCACGGTGAAGTGGTCAAGCAGTTTGCCCCTGAAGGTCTTCGCTTTACAGGTGCAGTTTTCACCAAGATCCCTGAAGATCATCACTGTAGCTACTGAGTCCGTTCTGTGGGGAACGACTGAGGAAGGTGGGAGAAAAACTTGGTGCAGTGAAGTCAGTCCTCTCAACTTCAAACCTTTTTAATTGAATACTGTTCTCTTTTTTTCCAGATTTGATAGAATATGGGGACGGCTATTATCTGACGACTGTCTGGTGCTTCATGACCTGGAAGTGGGGGTTTGCCCTGCTGATGTACTCAAGAACCTTCCTTCGTTCATACCAGGAGAAAGAGTCTCTCATCCAGGGAGAGGAAGCTTTTGGAAATAAGTCAGCATATGATTCTGTTGGTGATAAACAGTGAGAGCTAACAGTGACAGGCCTTTGTGAACAACATAGACATGACATTTCATCGTCATTATCATCATATAGTTCGTCTGTAGCCTTCTTCTCCGGGTTCATCTGCTGTAAACTTCAGCGGAAAGTTCTGGTTGTTCATCCACTTCTGGACTGCAGTCGTGTTTCAGAACCTGAGTGTTGGGTGTGCATCCGTTTTAAAGATTTGACTCATTTGTATGCAGACTGCTGGTTCCTTGCCTCTCAGGCAGATGCACTACAACTTCAAAGGCAGCTCCCGATTAGTAGACTCTTACAACATGCTTATGGGTAGGCAGTGGGTCTGTTCTTGTTAGGGCCCCAGAACCCACACGGGACAGCTTAAGCTAATCTTTGTAGATTTGAAGGCTGCCCATGTGGGTTCCTGGGTCCTTGGGGGGGGGGGGGGGGGGGAGAAGAGACCCACTATCTCCTTAACAAGCGCATTTTCAAGGTGGATAATTAAGAATGTTTCCTATGAAGTCTGAGTGCATCTGCC